AGCGAGTCACGTTCAAAGCTGACCAATCAGAGCCGCCGGAGCCACCAGCGTGTGGTTGAGTGCAGCGTGGAGTGGCTGGAGATAAGCGGGGGGAGTGAGTGGGACGGCGACGGCGACGGCATGGACTGTTGCCCGGAGTGCGTGAGCAGAGTCCGGGTCTGGGTCCGTGTCGTCCTGGCTGCAGGAGCAAACCACCACGTGCCGTGCATAAATCGGCCAGCAATCGATGTAACTTTTGCCAGAGTCGAGTGTCCTCTCAGAGCAGTGAGCACGAGGGGAGAAGGGGGCGAAGGGGGAAACAAATGTCATCATATTTTTCCACGTTCCGAAATTATGCGACTCCTTGGACCGCTGCATCCTACCATTCTCCCCGTCCCCGTCCCCGTCTACGTCCCCGTAGACGATGTGTGTCGCTTAATTTGTTTGGCCTGCTCCGGCTCCTGTCTGATGGCCTGCTTCCGTTGCCGTTGCCGTTCCTCATCCTGTTTCTTTTCCCCACTCTCTTCCTTTTTTTTTTGTGTCGCGTCCGGCATATGGATGCGACATCAGGAGCGAGCCACGACACCAGAGCCGACTCCGGCATCGTACCGACACCGTTCCGACTTTGTTACAAGTACTTTACGGTAATGGAGGATTTTCGCTTGAGCATCCTCTAACAGAAATTAATTTAAATCGATATGCTGCTGGCTCGATGCTGCCGAGGATGGAGTGGCGTGGAGCTCTGTCTGTCTGTGTCCTGGACGGGTGTCCGAGCTCCTTCTCCTGATCCTGTTCTTTATTAATTAGCATCGTAATTTATTTTGGCGGTTTGATTGAATTGTAGGTGTAGTCCGCATACTCCGTACCCATTCCATGCCATTCGAAATCCATGGGATGCACTGAATCAAGATTCTGCGTGGCTCTGACATGGCCAATGTCAACAAGGACATGACACACACACACACACACACACGAGGGCAGGGCACTCCGACTCCCCTTGCCAGCATCTGTGAGCGTGTGTTTGTATAGTTTATTGACTGCTTGAGAGGGAAGTGCTTTCCATAGAGAAACGGAGAGATTTTTCGCTAAGGAATGTAAGACTGGCCGCAAATCCTGAAAATTGACTTCGTGGCAAGGACACAGGAGCTAGAGGAGAGTGTGAGGGAGAGTGAGAGAGAGGGAGCGAGAGGAATGGGGTTGGGTTGAGTGGCGGCAGGAAACAATGCCGCCATTTTGCGAAAGAGTTGCCAGAATCTGCTTGAGGGCGCAAAGCAGAGCAGAGCACAGAAGAGCGCCCCGAGCTGCGTGGCTTTCTCCTCCATCATAAGGCATACAAAATTAGTTCAGTTTTCGGGGACTGGGACTCGGAACGGAGTACGGGCAATGGGGGAGCAATACGTCGTGGATTGGGGCCACGTCTTTGTTGTTGTCGCATCGCCTCGCATCGCATCGCATCGCGCACTCCCTACCACGCACCATCGTATTTCATTTCGTCATGTTTCGGGATTAGGCCGGATTAGTTTGGCGACTGAGCAATGGCTCTGTCCTGAACTTTTCAACTGCCTCTGTCGTTGTCGCTGCCTCTGAACTTTTTGGTAGTTGCTTAAAAAAGAGATTGGGAAAGGGGGAGTGGGAGTGGGAGGGAGAGAAAGAAAGGGAAATGTGACGACAACAAGGGCGCGGATGTGGATGTGGATGTGAATGTGAATGTAGATATAAATGTGGATGGGAATGGGAATGGGTCTTGGGTATTGGGTATTGGAATGGGGGGGTCGGAGAATGTGGCTCCGACTGGTAATGCTGCTTCTTGTATATGTATAGGGAGACATTTCCCTGCGGATCCGACACTTTCACCGCCTTTGCATTTCAATTTCTTGAGGTGCGTGCGACTTCTTGAATGTTCGGCATTAGCATTTTCCTTCTGCGAGCATCAAAGGATGAAGAGGATGCAGATGGGTTGCCCCCTCCCTCCCCATGGCCGACACACAGTTCGTGGCACGTAGACACCATCTATAAGGTGTAGCGCCATTTTGTAGCGCACAGATAACGTGGGTGGAGCAGCAAGCACTGACTGTCAGTTCCCTCCTGCCACCCAGCCCTCTGTTTATATTTTTTTTCGATATCGCAAAGTCGAAAGTCTAATTTCAATTTCTCATATAATTGAAATTGCAGCCTGACTAAGTCGTTCCCGTACCCGTACCAGTCGCTGGCCCACAAATAGATATCATGTCATCAATGGGAAAGTAGCGCTGATTATGGGGGATTTGCCAGGGGACTACTGGGGACAGGACACTGTAATTGCACTGTGGAACATTCGCGATTCGGATCGGATTGCATAATAAAAAACTCAAGTTCCCAGGGGGATAGCCCTTTGAACAGGTGCTGGCTGGTGAGTGTGTTAGCCCTTGGACCTGGCACCCATCACCTCAAATCACACTTCCTCACCCCGAAAAATGTGCACAGGGCCTGAAGTACGCCGTCCACTTGTGCGTTGCCTTGTGCCTTGTGCTTGTGCCCCATCGAGTGGGTGGATCGCACGAGTATGCTCATGACTTATGCAACTGGCAGGTGAATTTGTATCGGGAGGGAACTGCACAGTTCAAAGCGCATTCGCCGCCCCAGCAACTCGAGCCCGTCTGAGCGACTCAAGTGGGGGGGCTGATTCTCTCAAGGGCCTCCGCTCAACTCGATTACTGGTGGAACCCTGCACTGTGCGCAATCTCTGCTCTGTCGCACGTTCTGGATGGACAGTCGGATGGACAAGTAGTTACAACAATCTGAGACATTTCCAATTAAAGTTTTCAATGGGAAATATGTACCAAGGCGCTGCAGCAAATCGAATTTGTTCTCAAGGTTTTTCGAGTCGAGTTTTAAGAGTTTTTGGCCTGTTGTGGCATAGATTACGTACATACATTACATAGAACTACGTGTTCTCGACTTACAGTGTTTGCTGTTCTTTTCCTGAGTCTGCAGAGTATTTTCTTGAGTTCCCGTTCCCAACAAGTGCAGATCCCATCCATCAATTGAAATCAAATAAAAATGATTAGTGCTGGCCATGCAAAAGTATATCAATTTGTTCGTGTTTAGCATCTGTAGATACAAGGATATAAATGGTACAACTTTTCTAGCTTCAGAGGCGCCGCATGACCCTTTATCCCTTAAGCGCCAGCATCTCCCACCCCCATACACTCCTTCCTTTTCTGCCCCACTTGAGGCAGGCAAATGTGAAACAAAAACGAAAAAACGAAAATTATGAACTGCACAAAAGCTGTTGTGAATTTTAATAAATATTGTTGCTCCCTTAGATGTTTTTCCCTTGTTGTATCTTGCGAGAGAGTATCTGCCAACAGCGGCAGAGGGAACAAATCAAAGGGGGGTGAGTGAGTGCGCAGAGCAGAGAAGTCAGAGAAGCTACAAAAAAAGATATACGCACACACACCCTGACACACACACAGACACAATGAAGAATACGTCAAAAGGAACAGTTATTTATTTATTTGTGCGCAATCACAGAGCCAGAGCTACAGAGCTACACCCCCTGTAAACGCCTCAAGCAGCACCCCTTCCCATCCCATCCCATTCCATTCCTTTCCATTCATCTATCCCATCCTTTTCAAAGGGGCACTACAATGGCGGGGTCTAACGCAGAATAATGGGATAACAAAACGCCCTTGACACCCAGTAAAAAGACAGCCAGCCCTCAAAAACTGGGCGCCAGAGAGCAGAGCAGGGAAGACGGAGAGGAGAGGAGAGTAGCCTTATTATTATGAACATTGTGGGCACTCGCAGCACGTAGCAATCGTACAATGGTACAGCCAGGAGACGGGGGGCTGGGGTGGGGGCAAAGGACCAACACAACACACAAAAGTACAAATCAAACCCTCTCGAGAGCAGCCAAAATACCAGAGAGAGAGAGTGAGGTAGCTACAGTCAGAAAGAGAGGGAAAGATACAGCGACGGAGACGGAGAGAGTGTGGTGTGCGTTTGTTCGTGAGTGCGCGCGCGCAGTGGCAGGGAAGAGCACCGAGAGCAATGGCGCACTGTAAACATTCTGTGTGAGCGGGGTGCTAGAGGGCTAGAGGGAGAGAGGGAGAGAGAGAGAGCGCGCGAGCAGTGGCACACATATTCGGGGGTGTGTCCTATCGGCACTGAGCGGTGCTTGTCTCTCGCTCCCACTCCCATTCGGGCCGAGCACTCGCTACTCGCTGCAGGCAAGACCATCTCCCTCACACTCTCGCACACAGATAAGATAGCAGATAGATAGCAGGCGGCGTACGTACTCGTATCGCCGCCCGATCCGAATCCGCGGCAGTTGGGAAAATCAAATTCCGTTATTCAGTTCAGTCAGTCGCCGTGTCCGAACGTTCGCTGCCGTGTATCTGTATCTTTTGCGTGTGTGCCCCGTGCCCGTGTCCGTGCCCCGTGAGTGTGTGTGTGTGTGTGTGAGAGCAGCCCCTGCTGCCACTGCCATTGTCACTGCACCGTTAGCAACCCCTCTCTCACAGGTTGACGCACTTTTACTCGCTGCTACTGCTGCTGCCTGCCTGCTGGCCTGCCAACCGCTGTCGTATCCAACAGATACTTTGCGTGCGCTTTCGAATTCGTTTTCAATTCAGCCACGTCCTGTTACGGGTGCAGACGCGTTGCTTCCGTTTTGAGAGTGCCACAATATCTGCCAAAGTTGCTTCCTGTTCCGCACAGACACAGACACAGATACTTACCCTAATTACGCGCCGGATTAAGTTATTAAAACGGATTTAGAATCAACAGTCGGCGACGACCGCACAAAAAAGAGTCGAATCACAGCAAATCCAATCGAATCCCCGGCCAGAGCCCCCCCCCAGTGCCCCCCAGTGCCCACCGCGAGTGTCTGTTTTGTTTGTGGATCCGTGTGTGTCCGTTGCGCCCCGACATCGGCGAGAGTTGGGCATCAAAGTCGCATTAAAAACATATCCCCGAGTTACTTAAAATTAATCACTAACATAATCACTGGGACTTTTACTGTTTACCGATCCGATCCGACCCGACGCCACCCCACCCCAGCAGCCGCGTGTGCGAAAACTATAAACGGCTCTATTAAATGCTCTTTCGCATTTGATTAGCGCTTCAACGCAACACTCTGACACTCTCTGACACTAACTGGCAGCAATCTGTTGCAACAACAGAGATCAGATCATCAACAGCTCCGATTCTCCGGCTACCCAAACAACGATTTATAGCCGCCCACGCCCACGCCACGCGAACATATCCCGAAGATTTCCGTGTAAAGTCACCAATGAAACTGAAATGAAAGCAATTTGATTTATTGCCAGTGCCCACGACTTTTTCCACCCGAGAAAAGCCACTGAACCACAGCCGACAGCCGACCCAAAGGTCCGATTCCGATCGATCTACGAGTATCTGCCACAGCGCCGGCGGAAGTTCGTCCCAGTTCCAGTTCCAGCCGATCGAACGGCCACCACCAAGTGGATTAATTGAATTCTCTTCCCAAAAATCAGAGGTGAGCAAATTGGTTAGTGGCAAACGAATGATATACGTTTGATTGTGGATATATTTTGTGTAGATCGGAGTAAGATATATATATATGTGTTTATATTTGATTCCCTTCCTTGATTGGCCATCGGTTTTGGTATTTTAGAGCAAATTTATATAAAGTAAAACATCAACAAATCAGGGAACCACTGCAGAGTATCACAATATATTATCACAATATATTCCAGAACAAGTATTTACTCAACAATCTATTAATCTAAAATGAAGTGACCAAAAACACTTTCCTTAATGCATCATTCAAACCCAATAATTGATAGATGGATCTATACATTTTAATAGCTACGACTTTCTCAAACCTTTCCCAACATATTCCATGAAATCAGAAAAGAACTAGTGCCGGTAAATGGTATAAGACCAGAAGGTAAAACCCCAGCATCTCATCTCAATTGCACCAGCACATAAACCGAAATCTCGGTGAATTGTTTCTAAGGAAGCAAAGTCTTTGGCTAAGCCAATGTCAATTCGGTTGATGCCTGGAAAACATGTTTTCGATACGTAAGAAAGTTTAGGGGCTCCCTCATATAAGGGATCACGAGAGATTCCCACAGCCGAGCCTCCCATAAACCGAGTGTTGACCAAGGAATTACAGCCTGCTGAACACTTTGGTCCGACTCTCGCGTCGCGCATAAATCATCGCGGAATGGCGGCCATAAAGCGCCTCACGTTCGGGGCACATCTCGAATGGGGGCCTCTCTGTGGTTTGGAGGCCAGAATGCTTCCAAAAATTAGAGGGAGACGGTGCGAAGCGGTTCGGGAATGGCAGTGCCAACCCATTGACGTCACCTAAACAATTAAGATCTTTTTGTGGGGGCAAACAAGGCATGGAAAAAACCTAAGTACACAGCACTAGAACTGCCTGGGAGGTGGAGCTGGAGCTAGAGCTGGGATGTTAAACTGAATTTGAATAAAATAATAAAATTAAATGGGAGAGAAAACATGTGGAAAGTCTTGGCAGAACCTAAGAACATCTTGCCACCTTTGCAGAGGAAGAAGAATCACCAGAGGCAGGGGTAGCGGCATACGAGCTGCCAGATCTCTGTGGCAATAAAGCGACATAAAATAATTTCTGGCATTCTTTGTCTTGGCGAATCATTATGTAAATAAATTCTCACTTTTGAAATAAAATGACGGGGCAGAAATAGAATATATTATATGCATCATAAAAAGAGGAAAGAATGCCCCAAGAACAATGCCTCTGGCAACCAAGATTATTTATTAGACACTGCGGCAGATAATTTAGCCAGAAATTGTGCCGCAGCATGTGGCATGGCACGGCACGGCAAAAACACGTATCACCGTAGCAACGTAATGCTGCCCGCAAATAACAATAATAATCATCATGCAATAAATACTCATAACAATAAATGCAGAAACTTTTCATTTCATCAGATGACCCATCACCGCGCTGGCCATAAATTTGCCTTCAAGTGGGAAATTATTGTGTGTTTTGTGGGAACAACCGCAAATGGATTTAATATTACAGCCGCAATAATCCACTGGGGATCAAGTGGAGATCAAGCGGCATTATCAAGTATAAATTATCCATTACCCCCCTGTCCGAAATCAAAGTCACAGCTGCAACAGAAATCGAAAGTGACAGCTCAAGCAAATTGGGACCAAAACTACTCGAATTAAATTTAAATTAAACTCTTTTCAATTGCGAATTTATGCGGGCTGGGTATGTGGGTTATGGTTCGGGTTTGGATTCTTTATTAGACTCAGACACGCACACACACACACACAGACGAGACTGTTTACAGGCGTTTACCTTTGAATGCCTTTATTCTGTTGTGATTGAGATTAGATAACCATTTATTGCAACGTCCCGTTCTGTTCTGTTCTGTTTCGTTTGGTTTGGTTTGCCTTGATAGCGCCTACGGGTTGGTTGGGACTGTCCGGGATATCGGGAGTGCAGAGCGGGAAGTGGGGTTGGAGCTCTCGCTCTCTCTCTCTCTACTGTCTTTCCGCGAAAGAGTCGCTAATTGATTTACGATCATTTATGGCTATTTTCGGGCTACTGTCAATGGTTGGTTTCTTTATTTTAAAAGAATTTATTAGATGCCCTGACACGGTGGGTATTTATCGCCAAATACACGTATTCCCCGTCCGTGCAATAATAATAACAATCATCAGCGGCAGGAGAAATGCTCGCCCCGCAGAAATGTAAATATTTTACAACGATAAGGCTTATCGCACCGCTCCGATAGTGGCTGTGTAGGTGTGGGTGTAGGTGGTTCGGTGGTGCGATGTCATTCCACAACCACTCGTACAATTTACGACACTGAGTAGGAGGCACACTCTCTCCTCTCGCATTCGTACCGCCAGCATCCCAGAGACAGAGACACAGACCCTCTCCCAAGTGGTATTAACCCCTTGACGTGTTTGGTGTTAACTTGCCATTCGGCTGGTGTTTGGGTTAAGCCCCACTGTTTGCCCTCGCCTCGCCCGTCGAGGCGATAAAGAGCCTAGCCCAAGCCCCATCTGGATTTGCTTACTGCTTACCAAGTAGCAACTACGACCGACTACGACTACGTATTATACGATAATTACGAGTATATTGTACACAAATGATTACTAACGTGCCCCCTCTTGTGTCTCCCTTATCATCGGCAGCTGTGAGGCTCTGGAACGGCCACATCTTGGATTTGCTCTCACCCCAGTTGGAAGATACCGGCCTCAAGACGACGACATTCTTGCAACACTTTAAGGACGTCGTCACGACGAAGTTCACCGGCAGGGACCACCACCTGCCACCGCTGCATCCGGCCCATCCGGCCCACCCGGCGCACCAGCAGTCCGCGCTGCACCACCACCACCAGCCGCACCAGGCTGTGGCCCAGAGCTTCTCCACCATTTTTCCGACGTATCTCGGCATGGACCGCGCCACCGCCGGCGGCTGTGGCGTGGTCACCAGCTCAGCCACCGCCCTCGGCCCGGGCGGAATAGCAAACGGCGGCGGGGTCGGCCTCAGTGGATCCCTTAGCGGCCTGGAGGCCATGTCGGCCGAATCCACAGGCCTGTGTCTGCAGGATCTGGTGAGCGCTGGCACGGCCAACGGGGCCGGCTCGGCAGGATCCGCGGAGAGCGCAAACACCACGAGCACCGCCCTGAGCAGCGGCAGCACTGGCAGCTCCACTGTGAACGGCGGTGGCAGCAGCACCTCTGGCACAGAGCACCTCCACAGCCACCACAGTCTGCACGACTCGAGCTCCTCGGTCAGCATCTCACCCGCCATCTCGATGGCATCGAGTCTGATGCCCATCAGCAGCCTCAGCCACTTGCACCACTCGGCCGCAGGCCAGGATCTGGTCGGGGGCTACTCCCAGCATCCGCATCACGGCGTCGTCCCGCCGCACACACCGAAGCACGAGCCGCTCGAGAAACTCAGAAGTAAGTACCGAATAGAGGTGGAAAAGGGGAAGTTTAATATGTATAATTATGTTATTGGATCACTAGGAACCAGGCCCACAGTCGTAATTCCATAGTCGACAATTTAGTGGGCAATTTGCAGTCAAATTTATCTGTGGCATCTCTCGCATTGACAACTAATTAGTGCGTTCATAACTCACACGGCGAGACATACTGTTGGGCCCCACTGTCCTCAACAAGTGTCCGCATTCTCATTGCTATTCATGGGACTTTCGGCTCTGTTTGTGCCCCTGTCAGCGGCAGCTGTTGTCATTTCAATATGCGATTCGTTTTGGCAATCATTCACGCTCTCTACTCTGTGAACTTTCGGGCCCAAAGCTTTTGTTGGCCACTTGTCGCGCCTCAGTATCAGCGTCAGCATCAGCCTCCTTCTGCTGCTGCTGCTGCTGCTTTATGGGCCTCCCCTCATGCATATTCATAATCATTGTGCAATCATTAGCGCATAATCTTCACAAGAGCGTTACAAAGGGAACAACCCAGAAAAAAACACCCAAATGGCCAGAGACGAGTGGAAAAGCGGATCGGAATCGAGTGGAGTGGCGTGGCGTGGAGTGGAGGGCCGCAAGAACTAAACAAATTTCAATTTTGTGCGCATGTCACGGCTAATTGAGCACCCTTCTGCCGTAGTGCCGAAGGCGACACTCCGGCCGCTCCCTGGGTTCCCGTTCTATTCTGAAATTTCCCTCTTGACTCTGCATCTGTATCGGAGGGAGGCTGGATATATGATATGTATAGAGCCCCGCAGTCAAGTGTTTGTTGTTCCGTTTGGTCTAATTGTTATGGGAGTTTGGAAGCGGGCCAGAGGATGTGCCCAGCCCAGAGTGTGCGGGAGGTGTCTCGGCAAAGTGAACGATTCCACAGCTTCAAGTGCGCGATATGACATTTCAATTGGTCATGGGAGTTGCCAGGAACGAATCGCAGCAGTTGCAGCCGTAAGATTTTGCTAGCTTCAGGCAAACTTAAACAGAGTTTTGCTATATAATTCCATTGATGATCCCGAGATGGAGAATAGTTCTCACCTTGGGCAAAAACTTTCCATTTAAAGCTCCCATGGAAAGAGCTTCCTGCAAGCGAATTTCCATTTGCATAACAGATTTGTCTGCCTTCGCCCAGAGATTTGTTGGCTGTCGCCCTGTCAACTCTGCCCCCAGGGCCCAGTCCCAGTCCCAGTCACGGGGTTAACGGCCCGTGCAAACTTTGCACTTGTCTGCACTCTGCACTCCACACACCACACAGAGGCGACGTCGACTCCTTCCTGGCCACAGATGTCCTGCCATTTATTTGCGTGCCAAAACAATTTAACACAAAAATTGTGCGCATTTAAAATATGCACGACTGCAGTTATCCTTTGACACACACACACACACACACAGGATCACGGAATTCAGGTGCGGGCAACGTTAACAGCTCGACGACTCCCTTTCGGGCCAACCAATTTCCACTCTGGTGGATGCTGCACCTCCTCTGGCTACTGCTGTTGTTCTCGTTATTGTTTACGCTCTTGTTTAAATAATGGCCAGGCAACGTGCCTCTGCTGCTCCTGCAGCCAGGACCTTCGTCAGGCCGCAGACACAGACAGACCAAGGGACCCACTCCCTCTGCCAGTGCACTGCTGCAATTGGACTTTCAATTATTGGTCAATTTAATGGCCAGTCCGGAATTCAGCTAGCCACCAATCCACCCACTCGACCACCCACAGACCCACAGACCATTTATTTGTTTGTTCGCCATTCGCTTTATAGATATTTATGCTCATATTTATGCTATATTTATATATACTACTCGTACATGTTGGGGGTAATAATTTTTAACGATTGCACTTTTTTATGGGGAAATGTTCACCTTTTAGTTTCGGTTTCTGTGTCTATTTTGTTTTGGGGGATGGGCGGAGATCATTTTATGGCTTCTGTGCGTGTTTTTATTTCGCTTTTTGCGCTCAAAGGATTCCAAGTTCACGTTTTACACTAATTTAGCCCCACGGAGCAGAGAACAGATTTTTTATTGAACAATAAAATCGGAATAGTTGATGCTTTTTATTGGGGCGCGCGCGACAACTCTTTGTGTACCATAATAGCTGTGAGTCCGCTTTTGAATTATGTTGTCAGCAGCTGAAAGAGTTCTGTGGCACGACGAAAACACGACCTTGTCCCCCCCGGATTTCACCATCTCAAGCAATTAGGGACTTATCTGTGGTGTATCTGTGACTATATCCACACCACTTACATATCAACGCGGTGCGTTATTTGCTTTGAGTAAACGCAAACCCAAACAGAAACAGAAAAAGAAACCAAAACCGAAATGAAAATGGAAACCGAATCAGAGCAGTTTACATTTCTTTTTTGGTTGCTCGACAAATAATAGAATGTTTTTCTTTACGAGTGCGAGCAGAGTATCTGTATCTATGTAGAGGGTCTCTATTTCTTTTATTACAAGCCCAAGTCCTTAGCTTGTTTGCCGAGTGCTTGCCACAGATATGAGAGCACGGGCACAAGATTGAGATTGAGAACTATTTGCCCCTGACAGTGTTTGTGGCTGATGCCCGTTGATAAAATTATGAAATTACTTGAGGCGACAGCCGAGGGAGTTCTTTACAGTTTGCTGAGTTGTTTCTAGTGAAATCTGCGGTGTTATCTTCGGCTCTGTGTATGTGTGTGTGTGTGTGTCTATACATATCTCCATCTTCCGGGTAAGTGTTAATGGCACGTGCAGCCAGACAGCCAGAGTCTTGTGACCCTCTAAACATAAACAATGTCTAAGCCAGACCCACGACAGGACCCGCTTTCTGCCTCCTTTGTGCCGCCTGTCTATCCATGGGATACACACGGAAAGCTCCCTGGATGTGAGGCTACTACACCCCCTGGCTACTTTAAATTCCACGCTGCCTTCTGTATTTGTCAGGTCTACGGCATTTCTTTATGAATATAAATACATTTTATCGATTTTTCGGCACCGGCGACTGGGAGTGTTAAAGCTTTAAGGATACAGCCAGTGCATTGCCAGCAAATCTCTTCGAAATTGCTCGCATATGTCATCCCGAGATCGCATTCGATTTGGCATTGCACACAGCCACAGAGTTACAGTTACAGCCAAACACCCCATAAATTGCAGTTGCTGACCGGGCAGGATAATCACAGCACAGCAGAGCCACAGCACAGCAGAGCACAGTGGTTCATGGCTGCAAGAGAACGAACCTGTTTAACCTTGTTCCTCTCCACACTTTTCCACTGTACCAGCAAGTGGCTGAATCTTCCCCATATATCAATCCATCTGTCCTGCCTCTGCTCTCCCTCTTCTCTCTCTCCTCGCCCTGGCACTGATTTCGTTTATATAAATTATAATGTCATTATGGCAAGCAGCCACAACCCCAACTTGCTCTCCATTATCCTCCCATATTGCTCGCCTGCTCGTCTGCTCGTCTGCGGCTTGAACCGCAATTACCTCGTTGCAGAACTTCGTTCGAGGAAAACTTCATGGGGGATTGTCTCTCTCTCCCCCTCTCTCTCTCTCTCTCTGTCTGTCTGCTTTCCGCCTCTTTTCTCATTATCCGGGCATCGTGCAATTTCGTAAAAATGTCGCATTAGAGATTATCTGAGGAAACAAACTTGTCCAGAACCCGGAGCCAGAGCCAGCCCTGTGCTCTTCTGTTTTTGTGGCCGGAATGACCCAATGGCATCAACTGGAGCAGAAATTTGAGCTGACAGTTGAGAAAATTACTGGCAAAGTCATTGCAGTGGAAAACAACGAAGCGAAGGGGGAATGGAATCCAGTCTGGACATATACATATCCCCTGTACATACTCCCATACATACATATATATGTATACATATGTACATATATAGTGTGTACATAGTCACTGTGTGTTTTTTTTTTTTGGGGGGATTGTCCTTCTGCCTTGTCTTATCTGCCGCCTCAACTAATGAGTTTGCCTGGTTCTGGTTCTGGTCTTGGTCTTGGTTTTGGCCAGGACCCGTCTGGATTTGGTTTTGGGTTTGGGTCCAATGCAATTTGGCTCTGGGTTGTTTGGGGCTTGAGGCTGGAGTAGGGCGGCTGGAGGGTAGTTCTTGGGGCATGTCAATGTGATTTCAGTGATTTTTATAGCATGCTGCTCGGTTGGTCAAGAGCTCATTATATGGCCATAACATATGTATGTGCCTGCTGGCCATTGTCCGGAGATATAACAATTAACTTTCGTGCCGTTGCCTAATTTTCATGGGCTAATTTGTGCGAGAGAGGGTTGGCGAATCCCAGTCGAAGTCGGAATCGCAATGCCGGCATATGGCTATCCCGGCTATTCCCAGGGACATCAACACCTTCGCTCAGCCTGAAAGGAGCAAATGTGGCATGAAATTGGAAAAATATTTATCTCTCTGAGCGGGAACCGCAAGTGTTTAACCCTTTTATGGGCCATCGAGTGGTTTACCGCTTCCTGCAGCCACAAGGAAAGCAACTAACTTGTCACAAGGGATGTGGGGAGGACACAACCGAGGGTTATGCGAGGGTAAATGCTAGGTTAAGGGATATGGCAGCAGCAGCCGCAGCAGCAGCCCAATTCCAATTCCAATCTCAATCCCCATTCAACTGTCACATTAATCGTTTGTTTTTGGCCACCAACTAAACGTTGCCGCTGCCTGACAGTTCTGTTTCCTTGTGCGCTGTCCTTTTCCCATTTTCCGCACATATCACGACTCGTTCTCGGGGCGTAGGTCTGTCCGTTCGCCTCTCGATCCTTTGTTGGTTCTTCCTTCTGTCTCTGTCCCTTCTGTCCCTCTGTTTGTTTGTTTGTTTGTTTGTTTGTTTTGGTCTTCGGATGGCTCTCCCGTCTGACAGTCTCTCCGGCCGAGTCTCGGGGTAATTTATTGCTCCGGCTGCCGTGTCGTGTGTCAAAAGTTTTTATGTGGAAATCTGTCCATGAATGAGCGACAGAATATGTGTGTGCAGTGTGCAGGATAGAAAAGAAAAAAAAAAACAGAATCATTGCTAGAGCAAAAATTTATTTCAAATTTTTCTGCAGTTTCACGGCCCACCTCTCACCCCACCTCTTGCATGATTAATTGTGCGCCCGCCCCGAGGGGAGTGTTTGCCTTTGACTTTTGTTTCGCCAAATCACAATAGTAGTCGCAAAGCCAAATAAATATCCCATTGCCCGTTTGTTTGCTCAGCAAATGCCCCCAGAAATAGGTACTTTGCGAGTACTGCCAAAATGGCTGCCAAGCAAAACAGAAAACCGAAAAGAGAAAAGCGAAAGTGACGGCGACACTTGTTGTCACAACTTTTGACATGTGCAAAACGCTCATGTCCGAGCGCAGAGCAACGCCCACAGCTATTGACACTTGCCACTCACATTCAGATACACAGATACACAGATATAAAGATATACAAATACACAGATATACGGATATACGGATATACGGATACATAGATTCCCCACAAAACCTTGAAAATGGTGTAAAACTGTAGCGACAACTGCTGCCCCGACAAATGTCAGAGCCCATCTGACAGACGACGACAATTTTTCCGACCTGTCAGACAGCAGCCAGCGAATGCAGCAAAATCAAACTCAAATTAGTAGCTGGCCAAAAAAGAAAATAGAACAGTTTGTTCGGAAAATATTTAAACAAATAAAAATCGCCGCTGTACGTGATTTTCCCTGCGTTTTTTCCGAATTCTTCTCGGTGTTGTTTTTTCTCACTTTTAGATTTTCTTTGTGGAGCGTGTCGTTAAGAAAATATTTTTACGATGACGACCCATTTAGCTCAGGTTGAGAAGCGGAGAAACGGAGAATCGGATGCGAGAATGGGAAGGGGAATGGGAAATTAGAGCAGCAGCAGTCAGGGCTATTAAGAGTCATTCAGCTGTGGAGGTCCCATCCTCTGCGATCCTCGGTGGTTGCACTGAGGCGTTGACTAAAAAATGGAAGAAATGGAAGATGTGCTGGAATAGGTCCGGGTCGTGGCAGCAACAGACATACATATGTCTCCACACAAAGAGCTACTAATAGCGACAATTTGTAGCTACAAATGAAAATACTGTACGAAATATTCAGACAGATTGTCTGAAGTATTATTAAGAGCTGAAAAGTTGCCCATGGAATCATAAATCAAAATCCTTTATGATAAAAGGAAAACTCCAAAAAAATCCGACTTCGTTTCACTAGTTTATGTTTACACTTTCGATATCAAGAAATATTCGCAAACAATTCCCAGACAACGTTATATTTTTATATATCTTTGTAAATTTGTTTTCCAAACACCTCGGCGCTGTTTGTTTGTCATACATCACAATCACATCATATCCCCATCATATCCTACGCTTGTAGCTCGCTCTCTCTCTCTCTCTCGTAATGATCCCATCAAATTTTAATTACCTTTAAACGCACTCATTAGAGGCCATAAAAATACTTTCTGTGGAAATTTGAATTTACCAACGGCATGTGAGGCTGTTGTCGGCGGCATAAATTATTCGGCTGGCCATAAACTAATTGAGTCATGGCCCGACTTCCTCGAGGGATCGCCTGACATTTGTGACTCCTCCGATGCTCCATCCTCATCCCCTTCTCCTAATTGTTTCAAATGTCGCCACGGGTGTTGGTGTTTCCGCTGGTGTCTCCAGTTGGGCTGCTCTGGCCCTGGCCATGGCACTTTAAAACCACATTAAATTGACACCATGTGAGAAGGCCATAAATTACTTTCCCTCGATGGAGTCTGGGATGGCCAGGAAGCGAGTCCATAAGATTTAGGAGCAAGTCGGGACCCTGGTACCCTGGTACCCCGGGACCATATGGGTGCACACCTTCGGGTGAAAAACCCCCAAGAATCAATTGACACGGCCATAAATCTATGACGAAACGGAATCGGCGCAGGGTGGGAGAGTCCCACTCTGCTGCAAAAATGGATGTCAATGGCTGACTAATTAATATTAAAATAGGCGTGACTAACTGCGGCAATTATTGCGTAGAGGGGCAGCCAATTGGTGGCCTACGGCTCATTCAGTGGCAGGAGATTTATGGCAGGGCCTGCCCGAGATTATCTGCCTGCAGGGCAGCGGCGGGGCAACCCTTTGAGGGCGCACTGGAGTTTCCATTAAAACAATTAAGTCGGGCTCCTCCAGGAGCAATCCGCTCCTTAATCGGGCTAACCAAAAGCCCATAAACCCTTTTATGAGCGCCCATTACGGTGGATAGTGGGTCCTAGAGCTCTTCTCCTGTGTGAACGTTGAAACATAAATTTTTTTGTAATTTTCTCTTGCCCTTTGCTGGCTTGTTCTTTTCAGTTTGGGCCGAAACTGGCGATTTCCGTGATAGTCATAGCTCCATGACCGCCGTAGCGAATAGTTTGGATAGCACCCATTTGAACAACTTCCAGACATCGTCGACATCGACGTTAACGAACCGGAGTCGGGATCGCAAAGATGGTGAGTATCTACCCACCACCCACACACACACACACACACACACTCATACTGCTTATCGCTGTGCCTTGTACGCCGATAAGAAACATAATTTATAATAATTTTGTAAAGCGTGGCCAACTATTCCACCTTTGTCGGCGAAATCTACGCGCCCGGGTCCGTTTAGTTTTCGATTAGAATGCCTTTGATTTGCGACGTGACGACGGCGACGGCGACTACGACGGCGAAAGAGAAAATCAGACTGAGAATAAAACTGGGAGACCGAAAATTATATTTCATGGAAGGGCAGGGCAGGGCAGTCGCAGTCGCAGCCATTTAGTTTATTTGATTAAGTTTGGTTGGGGCGTTGGAGAGGCCACGACACGGACTACACAGAAAGCACGCCGCATGATCGATGACATCGGCGGAACATACATTAACGGGCTATAAATCTGGTCCGTCCGGGAGTGGAACTCCCGCAGCGGTTTCCGTTTGAAGTTCGGTCTAGTGGGGGTTTTGGTGTTTTTGGGGGTTTGGGTGGCGACGCCTGAAGGTTGCATGGCAATTAGTAACGGTACCTCCCCACCCCGACCAGAAGCAGAAGCCACGCAAATGTGGGGAAATATTCCGCTCTCTTGCTGGTAGCCCCCGGTTTATGGGCTACTGGCTACTGGCTTATCAGGCCAGACGTGGGGCATAAAAACAGCAAACAAATTAGGAAATTAGGAAAGCGAGCGCCCCCATCTGATGCGATCTTTCTGCTGCTCTTTCAGGGAACCGCAGTGTCAACGAGACCACCATCAAGACGGAGAACATATCCAATTCCGGGCATGACGAGCCGATGACCACCAGCGCGGACGAGCCGAAGAACGACAAGAAGAACAAGCGGCAGCGACGCCAGCGCACCCACTTCACCTCCCAGCAGCTGCAGGAGCTGGAGCACACGTTCAGCCGCAACCGATATCCGGACATGTCCACCCGCGAGGAGATCGCCATGTGGACCAACCTCACGGAGGCGCGCGTCAGGGTGAGCATAATTATTCTTATTAATTGCCAGCCAAACCGCAAACTGCAAACAGCTATTGGGGAGCCGAGAGTCTGTCCAGCTGTCTGCCGGTCTACCTGTCTGCCTGTCTGTGCGGCCACATTATGCGGCCATTACTGTCCGGGCCCCAATTATATTATGGTCGGCCGGTGGTCAGGATCCGGCAGCCTGGCCAAGGCGCGACCGCAATGCAGCCGCACAGACTCGTAAATATGTCGCCTCGTTTGGCATTGGCTTAAACCCCGAAACCGAAAACCCTATGCCCGAAAAAGAAAAACCAATTTCCCTGCAGCGGCGTGAATTTATGGTGTGGGATTGGGGCAGGTTGCGGTTGCGCCTGGGACTGTGGCAGGGGCTGGGGTGGTGTTGCCATAAATTGCAGCAGCTAAAACTGCAGTTTGCTGCGTTTGCGGCATTTGCTGTTTGTAAACCGCGGGCTTATCGAACTCCGCGGAATCGAATCGTGTTGTTTGCTCCAATACCCGTTCTATTGACAGACCAGAACAGACCAGCCCATAGGCATTTGTACCCAGAGCTTGTGCATCTGCACTGAGAGAAATCGAGTCTCGGGAACCCTGAAATCTCAAAGGAAAATAGCGATGTACCAAGGCACGAATTAGAATCAGATTTAGAGCTGAGCCAATATTCTCGAAACGGATATTTCAGTTCTTACAACTCCTCTTCGCAGTCCACGTGGATATTGAGAGCTCTGCTCTGCCAGATATAGATATCTTTGGCTGCACAACAGTTGTAATTGTTTGTAAACACGGATGGGATAGTGATAGTTCTAGCAAACAATTGGAGTTGTATGCGACGACTGTAAGTGGCGCCAAGCGGCAGGGCAAGGCAAATATGACTAGGGAACGACAGTAGCCGGATCGAGTCGGACATGGTCCCATGTCGATCCGGGAAAGATATCGAATGCGATATCTATTTGCTGTGACAGTCAGTCAGGCAGGACAGGAAGACAATCAGCGCGACGACGACAGCGGCATGGCACGGCACGGATATGATAGACACATGATCGATGATCGGCGATGATGATCGTGATCATTGTCATTGGACGTATGGCGACATCAGCGTGGCATTAATTGTACAGTTAGAAGTGGCCCGCAGTCTAGGTAGAAAAGGGTCATCAGCCAGCGGAGAGTAAAGTAAGGGAAACGGAAACGAAACGAAACGAAAAGGCAATTAGCCGACAAACGGAGGAACATCTGCGAAGTGCGATGAAAAGCGTTGACAAATATTTCATGGTTTTCCTATGCAAATTTCCCTTCTCCTGCCCCACTGCCGCATATGCCAAGAAAATCTGCCTTCTCCCCAGTCCAGGCAGGGGTGCTGTCTCTCTCTCTCTCTGCACTTGACAACATTTATAAAGAAATTAGCTGCGGCCCGGCAGCAGCAGCAGCAGCAGCAACAGCAGTAGAAGGAGGAACGAACAAGTGAAGGTTCAGGGGAGTGCTAGGACTGGAAACGATGTCAATCTAAACATGTGTTCCTCGGATAATGCCGAACGGCGAGCTAAATGCATAAAATATTGATACAGTTTGTTTTATGGTCCATTATATGATGATGACAAAATGGTTTGTCCTCGTCCCTCGTTCATCCCCCGATGCATGCAAAGTGAGGCTGGAGCCGGCCCAGGACAATTTGTCATCGCACAGCGAGGGTTGTTTAATGAATTAGAAAACCACAGCACAGGAATTAATGATGATCATGATCAGGCCCTGGGGTGGCAGTCTCACATTTGACTTTGACTCTCACTTCGAGGCGGCGGCCGGCTGACTCTGATTCCCATTGTGCCAGCAATGCTAGCGGAGGCAATAAAATTTATCAAATATACAAAAGGATTACGGAGCAGGGCCGCATAAATCTGGGTGGGTTTTAAACTGTCAAAAAAGAGCAGCCCCGTCTGAGCAAACAGAGGGAACTGCAGTCCCAGTCGCAGTCCCATTCCCATTCCCAGTCCCAGTGCCCGAATCTGCACCAGAGCCCTGACGGGGGAAATGTTGCTTCTTCGGTCCCTGATAGCTACTAATCCGGGGATTTACATGCGCCGGCAATTATGGCAATATGTTCGCCCGAACTCCGACTCCGACTCCCCGTCTGTCCCATTGTCTATCGTTTTTGTCTTTTTAATTTTTCAAATAGAACTCACTTTTTAATTCAATTACCAGCCAGCCAGCAGTCGGGCCCAAACAACGCCCATAAAAACATTTGCTGCCCTCAATCGAAACGTTCCCATTCGGGTCCATGCGGGGAGTGGACTCCTTCTAGCGTTCCTTTTTTATCAGGTCAGGTGTCGCCAATGGCCCGGAAATGGGAACAACATTTGCAACATTCGAATCGGCGAGAGTGCATAAAAAAGCGATTGAATGTTGCCACAAAGGAGCCACAATATGCTCGGTGGGAATGGTTGTTGTCCAATGGCATCCATGTGGTGGATGGACAGGGATGAGCATCGAAGGCAGAATGAAACAGGAGAGCTCCCACTATGCTGCTGAAGAATAGCGAACAATGAGGGTGTGAAAAGTGATAGAGTTAGTTCACATTTGGGAGCTTCATTTTGTGGGTACTTTTCAGTATGTTATACCAATTACCAGTATACATACTCTTGCGTATCTTCTACTTTAGTTTTCTCTGATTAAGTTCCCTTATTGTTCACATATGTGACCATCCCATCCATCCATCCATCCATGCAGCTGTATGGCCAGAGATCAGACCACCCATTAGTGCAACTGTTTGTACTTACATAGTGTACTCGTAGAGAGGCAGCCGCCTCGTGGAGAGTTGCCTTATCGATGTTATCTGGGGAATGACGAAACCAATTTTCACTCCGGCTATCTGTTAGGAGAGGGGCAGAGACAGCCCGGAAATGGGAACCCATTTCACACATTTAACTTTCGCAGGCGAGCAAATAAAAAACGTATTTAGCTGCAATTTGCCGCCATCAATCATGAGAGCTCCGGCCCGTAGCCCGTAGCCTGTAGCCCGTAGAAAAAACCGAGTCCCGTAACTTCTGCCAACACTGGCCACTTTTCTGGCCACTCATATTTGACTTTTTTCTATCCACAATTTTACCTGATGAAGCGTTGCGTTGCTGGGACCAGCGGGTGGCCAAAGGCTGGGGAGGGGAAGTGTCATTGATGCTTTCATCAAAACCAATTAGGATTTTCTGCAGGAGTTTGTTGAGTGGAAAATTGCGCTGGTTTTTCCACTCTCGCATATTTCACTTTTTCGCAGAGTTCCCCTGTTCGTTTTTTCAGCCAAAGACAACGGCAACGACGACATCAAATTGCCATCAGGGAAAAGCTGCCTGCCCTGCCCCCTTCCTTTTTTCCATTTTCTATTTTCCGTTTTCCGTTTTTCGTATTTTTTTGCTGGGGGGAGTTTGAGGAACTTGCTAAATGATACGTGAAAATGACAGCTGACGAGATCGATGACGTTAGTTTTGCATCCGTGATGATGCAGGAGATGATGGTGCCAGGGCCAGGGCAGGGCCAGGGCTCCTGCTGATGATGATGATGCGGATTCGGATTCAGATGATGATGATGGGGCTGAGCGATGTACCTTGACAAATTGACACATTGCTGGCATTGATGGCAGTGGAAAGTGGAAAGTTACTGCTTCTTTGATTTAAGGTCAAAGGAACTCGGAGCTTGCCCCGTTCTCACGCTAACTTCGCTGACTCTGACTCTGCCTCTGACTGTGGCTCTACTCCTGGGTCCCAAGTTCATGCGATTTCAATTAACTGCCGCAACTAATTAGATTAAAGCAATTGCCGGCAATCGTCTACTTGCACGTTAAATGGTTCTGCTGGCACGCGGCCATAGTTTTCCGGTTCTCCACTTGTTAGCAATGGGCACAGCACCCACAGAATGTCTCTATTAGAGTTTTCCCAGCCGTAAAACAAACAGTTTTTGCATAGATCCTCGCGTGTCAGGCTTCAGTCACGGGCTATGCTCTATGGGTAAAGGGAAGGGTGTGGTGTGGTGTGCGGACCTGCATTGCCCATAAATCTATCGGGCTACAACCCCACGCCGCACCGCACCGCCACACCATACCGCAGCAGAGTGTGGCCAGTGGAAACTGGCGCGTTGATTTAAGGACAATGTGGCAATGCGGATTACAACAATGCGGCAACAAGCCGGGCCCGGGATGGTCTGTGACTCTGTGAAATTTCGAATTTGCGTGCTTTAATTGCCTCAGCCAGAGGGCTGCCAAATACGTATATCCAATAGTCGGGGCCAGAGCACTGCCAAATGTGCGAGTTAGTCTCAAGTTGCTCTTAAAGCTGCTGCGAGCTGCAAGCTGAGAGAAAAAAACTCATCAAAATGCTGGACAAAGTCTGCGCAGCTCTTTGTCATTTGTATCTGTATCTGAGTGTCTTTGTCTGGGCCTCTGCTTGCTCCCCTCCCCCCCCTCCACACCGTATCTGTGTATCTGTGCAAACTTTAGCAATAAATTACAAAGTTGCCATTTTGTTTTTATCTTCTGTGTGCTGCTGCTGCTGCTGCTTCTCCTCTCTTCTTTATTTTTTTGTCGTGTACTTTCTGTTTGCAAAATAATTTTGATTTATTTTTGCGCCCTCGCAGCTTTCTTTGCCTCCTGCTGCCACTCGGCCGCCATTTTTGCGGGGGTGGCAAGCCGAGTTTATTTATATAAAGCTCTCCATTAAAAAAGGCAACAATGGCACGACTCAGGGTACGGGTACGGGTACGGGAAGGGCCATGGCTCTGGGGCTCTGACTCCACTCCGGTATATATTTGTATATTTATAATTACTGCACATGCGTATTGCGGGGCCAGAGCCCCCTTTGGGCCGTGCGCTGTGCGCTGTGGGTCTGTGCTTTTTTGGGGGAAGTTTTGCTGGCTGCAGATACATAAATTTTCAAGTAATAAATTATAAAAGAAAATGGCTGCCGCAACTGCAACTAACTCCAATTCTCCCGCTCTGTATCATCCGTAGGTCTGGTTCAAGAACCGCCGGGCCAAGTGGCGCAAGAGGGAGCGGAACGCCATGAACGCCGCTGTGGCTGCGGCGGACTTCAAGTCCGGATTCGGGACACAGTTCATGCAGCCGTTCGCCGACGACTCGCTGTACACGTCGTACCCGTACAACAACTGGACAAAGGTGCCCTCGCCGCTGGGCACCAAGCCCTTCCCCTGGCCCGTGAATCCACTGGGGTCGATGGTGACGGGCAATCACCACCAGAACTCCGTGAACTGCTTCAACACGGGCGCCAGCGGCGTGGCGGTGAGCATGAACAACTCGATGCTGCCCGGATCGATGGGCTCCACGCTGACCAACTCGAACGTGGGCGCCCCCTGCCCGTACACGACGCCCGCCAACCCGTACATGTACCGCTCCGCCGCCGAGCCCTGCATGAGCTCCAGCATGTCCTCGAGCATTGCCACCCTGCGGCTGAAGGCCAAGCAGCATGCCACCGGCTTCGGCAGCCCCTACTCGGCACCCTCGCCCGTCTCGCGATCCAACTCCGCCGGGCTCTCCGCCTGCCAGTACACGGGCGTGGGGGTCACGGACGTTGTCTGAGAAAACGCGCTCGGTGCTCTGCTTAACCAGCATCAGCACCACTTGCAGCACTTCTCCACCCACCAGTCGGCGGGAATGGGAGTGGGCGTGGGCGTCGGCGGAGTGTCGCACAATGGGATGCAGCAGCACCTGGGGGGTGGCCACGGCCACGGCAACGGTATGCTGCACGGCCATGGCCACAGCAGCAACAACAGCCTCCTGATGGACCACGGCGACCTCGGCCATTCCGAGGAGGCTACTGGCGGGGGACACAGCATCGAGGGAGACAACAAGTCGCCTCTGGACTCCAACGGCCTCATGTCCGGCGGAGGCACCTCCAGCGGCGGTGGCGGCGGTGGCGGGGGCGGCGGCAGCAACGACAACGTCGACGATGGGGAGGAAGACGTTATCGATTGAGAGAATCCTATACTGGAGCTACTACGAGTAAATAAATCAATCTATAGCCAAAGCAAAGTCGGAGGAGAGTTAGCTTAAGCATTCAGAAATAATTTTAGATGTTTGCGTAATTTACGGATAAATAAAGTACCGAACCCGCACCCGCACCCGAAAGGATGCCACCCCTATACCCAAGATGCAAATTTTTTAAAGAACAATAATTAAATTTATAAAATCCAGCGAGAGAAGAGTTATGAGAGAAGAGAGGAGAAGATGTGATGTGAGGAAGATTAATTAGTTTTCGATTGGAATTGGAAATTGAAATTGCATTCTGTTTAATTTTGTGTTGAGATTAAATGCTAATTACGTTCGATCTGCCCCGCCCCTTACACACACACACACCACACACAGACACAGAGTCGACACAGTAGAAGTTAAGTGTTTTTGTAAATAAAAGCAAATATGTAGCTATAGTCCGCATCTGTATCTACTGGATACGGGAAGTAAATATAATCAAAACCCAGCTCAACCTTTCCTTCCCTTCCCCACCCAATGGGCGGCACTCGCCAGCCAAGAGTAAAACATATATATAGTATATATACATATATATATCGGTATATATATATATGCCAGAAACGTATCACGATCAAGTCAAAGTCAAAGTCAAAGTGTATTGTAACTAAAAGAAAACCAAAACTAAAGCTAAACTAAAAGAAAATATATCAAAGCCGTAGAAGTTTTTAAGGAGTTGTCTAGTTGTATAGATCCGCCAGAGAAGAGCATATACATATGCATGTATCTGTGTGTATGTGCATATCCCCCCACTACAGAACCCCGTATAAATATAAAGCTATTTAATAATTGTAAACTTAATATTAATAGTTATAGAAATTGAATCAAAAAGAACAATAAAAATTATGGAAAAAACCCACACGCCTCTGAATCAATGACCGAATGAATGAATAAATGAATTACGAGGGCAAATTGCGGTCAACCGCAGGGATAATGGATGGCTTTCCTGGAAATGGAAAAATTAAAAAATCAAATTGTAATTTACAGAGCCCAGGGGGGGGAGCTTTCGCAAAGGAGTGGGAGAACGCTTTGCGGTCCCTCCATTCACGTTTAAAGGGAGAAGGAAGAACTTAATTTAAAGACATATTCCTCACTCCCCCCGCAGGTCGCTTCCCCCATGAAAGATACATCCCCTGGTGGGTGGCGGCGGGCAAGTGTTTAATTCCGAGGTGGACCTGGTGCAAAAAGATCCATCCATCAATTTATTCATTACAACGAAATTATGTCGAATTTATATGCACCCCGCCGACCGCCAAGTGACAGGACACTGCCACTGCCACTGCCCCCCCTCCGCCAGCCGACAGGATTTCGTGCTGCCGGAAAATCACCGCACAATAAAAATAATAATAAAAGGACATCCCTGGATTGCCTGCCCAGACTATGCAAAATGTTCGAGGGGGTTGGTTTGGTCTCCGTTCGGGCATCAAATTTGAATTTCATATGCTGCCCGACCCCGCCTTGCCTTGCCTTGCCTTGATTGAAGCGGGCTAATAAAGTGCCGCGGCCGGATCGGGCAAGTCCGGGATTTGGAGACGGAGACGGGCGGGAGAGTACGGAATGCCCGCTGCGTTAAGCATCCATTACGGGGGGATGGGGTGTGTGGGTGTGCGACCCTGCGACCCGGCGACCATTTTATTTATTTTATTTCCCCTTTGCCCCGCTGTTAATGTTTTAATAAGATTGATTTTATTGCGGCCTCCACTGTGGCACTCCCTGCGCTGGCTGTGGAGTCAAAGGGTTAATAAGTTGCGCTCCAGCTGTTTTACGAACTCCCTTATTGTCTCTATGCCAGAGTTTGCCACAATTTGAGGCCCTATTGCTTTTGGGGAGCTGCTGTGGGAAATGCTTAAAGAAGTGTCCTGGAAAGGAGTTCCACGTCGCCTTTTTGGTATCTGTATCAGTCCACACTTGCGCAATTAACTTTTCGGCGTAATTAATGCCAAGTCTAATTATTGTTAATCATGCTCAGGCCGGGACGGAAGACAGCCCCAGGCAGGGGCGACGGCAGTGTACATAATGGATGAGATACAATTAAAATCAACTTCCTTTGCATGCTCAAAGCAAAGCGAGGGAAATGTGTGTACGAGAGGAGTGGCAAAGGAGGGATAGAAGGAAAAATGTGTGTGTTCCCTTCCAACCCCATGGTAAGGAGACCCTTCCGTGAGGCTCTCACATCTCTGCGGCTTCGATTGTGCACATAAAGGAGCAGCAGAAGCGAGCGCCATCTTGAAACTGCCTTAAGACACAACGCATGCTGTCAGCCATTATTTGCCTGCCAGGCAGCGTGCCCTCGTGCCCCTGCCACACCAACCATTCAACCAGCCACCCATCAAAGACAATCAGAGAACCAGTCGGGTAACCAGGCCACCTCCCTCTGCTCCCTGCTCTGCTCTGCTCCACTTGATTCCCCATCATTTACTTTGTCAGTATGCGGCAGCTCCATCATTATTACTGTTGCTGCTGATGCTGCTGCTGCTCTTCGAGCTGTTTTCCCATTGTGTTTTATATACAAACTCGTCATCGTATCATCATCATGAGCATCATCTCCAGATCCCGCTCCATCTCCATCTCCATCTCTGGCTGCTGTGTTTTTCCCTTAGGTACTTGTCTTTCTTAACTCATTGCGTTGGCAATAAATCTTCGACGCTCTTATCTGCCATGCACAGTTTGGGTTAGGATTTCCCCCATGCTACCATCCCAGTGGAAGCAGCAGAAGCATTACCCCCCCTCACACCCTGCCTCACCAATTCGATGCCATATGTCAGTCGCCTGCGACTCGGCTCGGCTCGACTGGGGGTAAATCTATGGCACCTGCTTAGCCAAAGGGTTTACGGGTTAATTAGTCGCAGATTCCGGTCCATTCCGAGCAGTTTAAAATTCAATTTCCAAGCCGCTTTTACTGCAGCAGCTTTGGGCCCCATTAAACGGAAATAATATATGAACTAAGTCTCCGAAAAGAAATCTAAATAATTGTCAGCTTCTCCATGAGAACGAAAACCAAGCCCTAAATGAAGACAATTCCCAAATATTCGGGTTTATGGCCAAAACAAAATGATGGCCAGCAAGGCCGCACATAAAACACATCGCATATTTGTCCCCTGCTCGTCTCTCCCGGCCGCCCGGCGGTTGTTTATTTATTTCAAATTTACTTTTTGGCCATTTTATGATGCCAAATTTTGACCTAAAAATCATAAAAATTGTAATCAAAATGTTTGCTGCTCCAGCACAGTTTATGGCCAGCAACCAGGTTGGGATCGGTCGGGCCAGGGTGAACGGTCAGATGGGGCCTGGAAAATTCTAATAATGTCTAAGCGCGAGTCCAGGCCGGAAGTAGGAGCTGGCGGAAGGGCAGCAGCGAGAGCATGGCCAGACCAAGCTGAAGGCTCAACGCTTATGGCTTTTTAATGGTGCCGTGTGTCGGTTTTGTGGCAAATAAAATGGCGCACATTAAAAGCCTGCCACAAGGAGCCAGCAGCTGGAGCTGGAGCTGTAGCGGGAGCGGGAGGAGCACCAATTGCAGTGGGCCCCCGAACCATATTGGGGTCATGCATGGCGGAGCGTTGGGTAAATAAAAAATACATAAAAGTATTTTACGAGCCAAGGCAGCCCAGGAATAGAAGGAATAGATGGCCCAAGGAGTACTCCCGGCTAGAGCAGGCCAGAAGGGGACATTTGCCACACAGGAGGCACGGGGGCACACAGCCCCGAGATTGCAATAAAAATGGCGGCAAATAAAATTGACAATATTGTCATGCGCGCGATTTGATGTCGCCTGTGGGATGGGGAGTCGCAATCCTTGGACTTGGCAACAAAATGAGTAAATTTTAATTTACTTAAAAGGCATAAAGATACAGCAGGCAAGTGGCAGTGGCGTTGATGGGGCTACTCATCCAAATAGCGGGATAGCTGCACATCTACCATCGAATCCATGTGTGATATTTCAAGGCAGTCACTGGCGTTTACCAAGAATAGATACTCTGGTGAGAGTTCATTGTTTAGATATAAAATAGTAGATATATATTTAGGGCCTTTTTCTCGGTTAGTTTTCCCTTTGTGGCACAACTGCCGACGGCAAAACGAAATCTGTGCACTCTGTTTCGTGTTCAACCAGCCTCGAAGCACCCCCTCGCACTGTACCCCCCTTTGGAGAGTGTGGAGCCAATGATTATTCCGGGTCTTGTCATTCCAATTCGCATTATCCTTTGCACTTATTTTACTACTTTGTGCGCGGCTGCTTTCCGTGCCTCATGCAGATCTGCTGTGGCTGTAGCTGTAACTGTAATTGTGTGCGGGTGTGCGAGTGGCAGAGTGGCAGAGCGGCAGAGGGGTGAGTTTGTATAATGGCGGGTGGCGGCGGGTGTTGTGTCGTGCTCACCCAAGAGCAGGAGCAAGAGAGGTTAGTGTCTGTCGAGTAACTCGTATTGTCATTGTGCAAATAAAATATGTCACGACTCTCCCACTCTCCCACACTCCCACTCTCGATTCTCCCCCTCTTGGGATGTGCTTTTTGGGTCCTGCCTCAGAACCCACCCCCTGCCCGAAATAACCAAAACACGCCCCTGTGTGTATCTAACCTTTTGTGCCCATTGTACACCCATTGTAGTCCATTGTGCACGACACCCACAATGAGAGAGAATGTTCTGGCTGCTTACTCCTCTAAGGAAATGTCTTTTATATAAACTTGGATGAATGGCTGCATGTGGATGTGGCTGGGAATGTGGCCAGGACAGGACAGTGCCGAATGGGAGAGATATATGTATGTATGTATGTATGTATGTATGTATGTATATGCGGTTACGCAGAGTCAACCCACATTGATTTCGCTGTCATGTACGAAGGGACACGACCCACGCCCGAGCGACTCCACAAGTGAACAGATTTAATTGTGTATAGTCGTACCTTTTAACCAAACTAAACCCATTTCGAATTTCCATCTGCAGAGCCACAGTGAGAGCCACTTTTCACATGACAAGCCCCGCACCCGACACCCAACAGCCGACAGCCGAGAAATAAACACAACTATAGGGAAAAGCCAAAGCCAAATCCGAATCTAAATCCATGATTTCACCTGCCAAATCCTTTTCAAAGCTGGCAGTCAGGTGAAAAATAACGAAATATTGTATTTTTCATACACATTTTTATCGAAATATAAATGCACATCTGTGTGTGGGTGAGCCAACTACTACATATACAACTTTATAAAAGACACTCGTCTGTTACCCTCTCTCTCTCTCTCTCTCTCTCTCTCTGTCTCTCTGTCTCTTTCTCTGACATCCCCCTCCGCGGGAAATCTTTCTAACCCCGTGTCTTTGTGTTGAGTGCTTTTTGGCTAAATGCGAAATCGATTGGAAAACAATTTCCAATTTTTAAAGAATTATCGCCGCCATATTCGCGCATGCTGTACTAAATCACACATAAGTAACCTCTAAATCTGCTTCCCGGCTCCCCTCCCCCACCCCTTACACACGCGAACACAAAACACACACACACACACATACACACACAGTGTGGGTGGAGGTGGGGGAAAACCTTTTGGCAAAGCTTTTCCTTTTTGGCTCGTTTATTTCTTTTTTATTTTCCCTTTTGTCCGCTCCTGCAATATTTTCCATTTCATTTTCTGCGCGACTGCCGGCAACGCGTTTAGCTTTGGCTGCACGGCTCGCTGACTTTCAGTTATACTAAATATATATACATATGTATATATACCCACCCATATGCTTATATATACATATGACATATTTGCCATTACGACTGTGTGATGCCCTTTACTTACGCCTTTCATACAGTAAATGTAAAAAAAATGTGTCAATGCGCTGCCTCGCAGCACAATCGAGACTCTACTTGGGATACATTGATGTGGGAATCTCTCAGCTCAAGTCTGCCTGCCAGGGAAGTGAATACGATCAGAAAGGCGGTCATACCCCAGCCCCAGAAGAGTCCCAGGTACAATAACCGTCGTATGTGTGTTATCTTCACCGCAATAGAGCTGCTGGTGGGGTGGGGTTGGGGTGGGTGAGGTTGAGTGGCAGAGTGGTATAGTGATGGAGCGTGTGTGAGGGTGGGGGTGACTGGGGGGAAACGTAACCCGCAGCCATTTAGTTTTATGTGGCCCGCACGGGCCCGCACGGGTTATGCACCTTTGACTCGACTCGAGCACCGTCTACGTCTCCATTTCCATTTCGCCGAAGAACTTGTCACCCCGGAGGGCGTCCCACAAAGCATTTCACATGTGAGCCATTTATTATTATTTGTTTTTAACGAACCCCGGCCGAGGTCGGGAAGGCAGCCCAGGAGGAGCACAGGGCTCACAGCCGCAAGTATTTCCTAATCAGGTTTTAACTACTAATAGGATTTGCGAGGTGCCGAATCGTAATTTACATGGATTTCGCACGAGATACCCAAAGAATTGAATTGGAAGCCAGAGCAAAGCTACCGCTAATGTATTGTGGCTTAGGCCAAATCCCTTTGCCACTCCTTTCCTCTGTTTATGCAGCTTCTTTCTGCTCTCCAGCCCAGGCCACTCCTCTCCTGTCCTGCATCGGGCACGGGCACGGGCACCGGCACGCATGTGTGCTTAGCACGGTGTGGAGCCGAAGGAGATGTGGCTTTCGTTCCTGATGGGCCTGTACCGAGCGTTAAATCGTGCGCGCAGGCAATTCCGCAACTTCAGCCCCAGCGCGTAGAGGGCCAGGACCGTCATCACGGCGGTGACCAGGCAGGCGGACAGGAGCAGGAACCAGTGGAAGTAGCAGGACACCGTCACGGGCCGGCGCAGCCATCCCGTCAGGCTGCTGGTGCACTCCTCCACGACGCACTTGTCCAGACCGTTCCAGACACAGCCCTTGGCACAGCACCCGTTGGCACCGCAGGCGTAGACCACCACCTTACCGCGCCTCCCCCTAATCACAGTCGAGCAGTTGAGCGCATGTACTTGCACCAGAGCATCCACCATCACGAGGATCAGCATCAACAAGGTATTCATGACTAGTCCTGATTTTGAGAATTTTTACAAGCAACTGGGAATTTCCTCTGTAGCTTCCCCTGGGCTGATGTGTCGGGAATGAGCTCTGGGCAGCAATTGCTAGCGATAAGTCAGAGGTTTCTATGTCCAGATACTTTTTGCCTCACATTTTGTTCAGATGAAATTATAATTTGAGTTGAAAATTTATTAACATAAAAGGATTTTTCTTTGGAATATTAAACTCCCTTCTGGATCTACTCAGATATATTTAGAGAGGCGATGGGGCATCCTTAGGTGTCCCCTGAGCATCCTCCTGCGGGTTCGTTGGGGGCACATATTGCGGCGGATTCTCCTCCCTGCGGTTCGGGATGAATGGGGCGTGTGGCCAGACCGATGGCTTCGTCTGCAGCAGCCAGAGCTCGTCCAGTTGCCGCTGCAAGTACTGCACTGCGATCTGGTGCCTGTTCGTAATTACATAGGTGCATCCCAGCCAGACGGCGGACAATACGCCAGTTCCGATCAAAATCAGCACGTTGACGGGGATACTGTCGAGATATTGGGTCACAATGTTGGCGGCGGCAGCTTCCTGGCAGACATGGAAGAGCATCAGCAGACCGTATATGGTTTGACTGAGTATCGACGTAGTTCTCATTGCGGAATCGCGGTTTTGGTGGCACTGAATCGGGGCCGGTTGGATTTTCTGCTTTTATATGTAGAAGGTTCGATGTTGTTTGAAGGAATTGTTTACGCCTCGGTGCGGGTCTTTCCCAGAGTTCTTCCTCTGGGACTTCAATCCACAACAAGATTTCTCCAGTGTCAAGGGTTCCATTAACTTTTATGTGCAGGTTAATTTCAATTAGATTCACATCTGAGCATGGATCCCCACAATTTATTTCTATATTTTTCAGTCGTCTCCCGTCCTTCACTTGGCGAAATTCCTTGGTGTGATTCAGGGCATCCCATATTCGCCTATTCCTCCATTACTTTAATATCGCTTTCGTCATGGAACTCCTTGGGGTTTAATTAATGTGGCAGCACTTTAGTCGTAGGAGTGCCACTGGAGGGATTCGAATGCCTATCAGCAATGTGGAAAGTGCCACATCAAGCGGCGGGCAATGCGAGACATGCGAGTGCTTGGGGCGACTCAAAGCAACCAAATCGAAAACCAAATCAGCATAACAAAGTGATTCTAATGTAATTCGTGATTTTGCATAATTATAAAGTTAATAATTAAAATTATTTTGCAGCCTGCACAAACCCCAAATGAAAACATTCAATTTTAATGACGCTCCTCCAACTCTGTCTCTAAATCTCTCTCCCTGTCTGTCGCTGTATCTGTCTCTGTCGCATGCGGGGCATGTGGGGCGGTGCGGTTGGCCATTTACAGGGGGACTTAGAGGCCTGTCTATGCACATGTGGCACTGCCCCCTAACCGCTATCTGAAACGGCATATAACTAATGCGTAAATATTAGCAAATACCGAAATGGATCCCCCTACCCTACCCTACCCCTTTGAGCCACATAAATTCCGAGCCACATATGCAGTGCCGAAGGCCCCAGCCCTTTCCCTGCTCTCCTGCCGCTGTATTTGTAATAAGCAATCAATTATTATTATTGAATTTAGGCAGGGTTCGTGGGCCACAGGGGGAGGCTGTGCCGCCTCCATGGGGCAGCTGGTCAGCGCCACTAATGCGTCTAATGAGAATTTAAGCACACTTCAGGCACCAGCCGCACCCAGCTCCTGCCCTGCCCCCGCTTGCATTTGGCGTGGATTTTCACTGGACACAAATTCGAGGTACAGTTGTGCTCGCAGAAAGTGCAAATACAATTACATTTAGCGGCGGTTTTGGTTTCTGGGTTTATGTTTTCCAATTTAAAATTTCGAATTTCCAATTTGTTTGGTCGAAATAACCCAAAAATCTGTGATTTGCAGCGAGTCTAAAAATGCTGCGAAATGAGAGATTGAGAGCGAAATGAAGTGGATACAGTATGAAGGGGCTATCGTACCAACCCAGGGGATTGTTGGACGGAGTTTTTCCATTGCCCATCCCATTCGCTGTCAGAGGGCGCTCAGCCCCTCTACAACTATGCCACTGGCTTCGGACCCATGTTCCTGTGCCCCTGTCCCGTGCTAATCGGCCTGCAGAGGTCGATTTACTAAACCGACATCGTTAATGATAATTTAATTATGGGCCGGCCATTTCGGGCTTTGGCGACTTAGGCACTCCACTCCTGCGATTCGGCTGCGGCCTGGCTAATTGCAACAAATCTGCTTGGGGTCGGTCGGTCGGTCAGATAGCGATAGCGCGCTCGGCGACCGCTTAGTCGCGGCTCTTATTAACTGTTAATTGTTGCAAGCCAGAGGAGGAGGCCCACACCCGCCCGCATGCAACGCAAAGCAGCCAAAGCCACGAATGTCCCTGAATATTCGTTGCTATCGAAGGCAGCTCTTGGTGCATGCCATATGCCATTTGCCATTTCCGATATGAACTTAAACTGGAATTGGATCCGCAGTAAAACAAAAATGTCAGCCCAAAGATATGGGTTCTCGATGCCGATTCGGATGTGCGGAAATCCATATTGAAAATTGATTTAAATTTTTAATAGGCAGTTCTCTCTTGTTGCATGTGGCAGCAGAGGCAGCGGCAGCAGCAGCAGCGCTTTGATAAAAATGCCATGCACGCAGCAGTCGAACAATCGGAGGCTTACGGCACACGGAAGATATGCCAGCGCAGCGCTGATGGGCCTGACGGGGCGGCTCTATTTAAATATGGAAACAATACTCGAACGAATATAGCAAATGCCAAACAGAAATCGGGCCTCACAGCGGATCGATCCGGACGGGACTCTATGATTGGGGATTGGGGATATGTGTGTGCATCTGGCATGTATGCGATATGAATATCTATATATATGTATGTATGTACATATACTTGTTTGCGGAGCTGTCAAATCATATTTTAATCTGTTTTGATTGCTGACTTTTGTGCAAGGGATTTGTGCAGACTGCACCTGCCACAGAGGAAACAACAGGCAGCAGGCAGCGCCAGTTGCAGATGAAATGCAGCGGAAAATATTGCATTTTATTTGACTTTATTTTATTTATGCAAAAAACGCAGCAATTTATATGGAAAGCTCGTGTGTCCCAGCTCTGACTCTGACTCGGACTGTGACTCTGGGTCTGTCCATGCTGTTCTGTGTTCTCTGTTCTGTGTTCTGTGCGTTTTCCATTTGTTTCATTTGATGTGAGAAAGTTAAGCAGTAAAATCCACTTTTTACGAGTTGTCCCCGGATTGCTCCCTCTAGAGCTTTGTGTTACTCATATGAGAAAGCATAAGAAGAACCCGCAGCAGCGGACTGGGAATTTCTTATTAAAAGATTGCACGCCAGAGATGAGCAAGAAAAACACTAAATCTCGGACGAAAGCATACTTGTACGAAAGCATACTTGTACGAAAGCATACTTGCACGAAAGCATACTTGCACGAAAGCATGATTGCACGAAAGCATACTTGCACGAGAGCATACTTTCACGAAAGCATGATTGCACGAAAGCATACTTGCACGAGAGCATGCTTGCACGAAAGCATACTTGCACGAGAGCAGAGGCTCCATAACGGCATCAAAGCTCCTCAAACCAGAGCGAAGTGCACGGATGAGTGCATTGAAGACGGATTTGGATTTGAGTCTGAATTTGAATCTGATCTCTGCCTGGGAAACTATTTCCAAAGCAGAGGAAAAGACACTGCTCTCCCTATTGCTGCCCTCCAACCGATGAAGTGATGAACCGATTGCTCTCTGCTCACGGGCACATCTAACCGATCACAGTTTGCCCTGGTCACAGTTTCTTTCCCAGCTGGTCACTGGTTTTCCTAAGCAAACCTCATCTCTGGCACGCACTCTGCTCCGGTACAGGCGAGCGACCTCCTGCATTGCGGGCGCGGCTTTGGCAGTGACTTAAATACACATAACCATGGATGGTGATGCTGCCACTGGGCGCTGGCGATGTCGTCGCCTCGTCCACGTCCTCGTCCTCGTCTGCCCTGTCCTGTCCTGGATTGTCAACATATTAGCTTCAAATTGCTAAAGTTCTGCGACTTTCGCTGTGGCCTCATTTTCTCACGCACGCACAGCTAGCTGTCTCTCTCCAGCACACCCCTCTGTGGGTGTGGTGGGGGTGTTGGGTGTGTGTGTGTGTGGCATCATTGTTTAATGTGGTGTTGCCAACTATTTTAGCCAAAGAGCTCACACGGGTTGCCGTCGGTTGGGAGCCGCCGGGTCCGGGTGATTTGCTTGCTTAGCTTAACAAGGCCCAGACCCTGGTCGTCGACGTCCGTGTCCGTGTCCATGTCCCTGTCCGGCTGTCCCCCAGCGCCATCTTTGAGATGCTTTCGGTGCTGCGGCATTCGGTTGACATTCGTAAAATCTCAAAATCCCGAAGGTCGTTGCCAGGGATTTTCTCAGATTTGGCCAGATTTAAATGAATTAGTTGCTGCCCGAGCCCGGCCCCGGCCCGATTGATTTTCTGACCTTTTCCGCAACTTTTTTCAGCTTCCTCCTGGCCCCTCTGCTGAGCAGTAGGCCAAACTGCAATTTGGCTTAAGAGCAATTGCATGCCATGACTCTCCATTAGCTGCAGTCGCCTCTTGCTTCTTGCTGCTTGCTTCGCGCACCTCCATCCATTCCACGGTAAATGAGTACAAATGTGGCTGCTGCTGGTGCCGCAAAATAATATAGATGACACAAAATTAGATGGTTAAATGGGGAAAAATGCGCACTGCATTCTGCAAGTAATTAAAATATGAGAGAACAGTTTCGCAGCCTCGTCCGCCCCTCATAAAATATGCCAAAGTCAACAAAGGATGTCCGTCCGTACGTCCCTCCGTCCGGGCCAGCACTCTTCCTCTGAGCTCCAGGTCCGGCTGGTTGGCTTAAAAAAGCATCAAATTTCATATTCAAAATGGCACTTTACATGTTCAGCATAATTTATAAATGCACGCAGCAGCAGCACCACCACCAACAAGCAGCAGCAGCAGGAGGAAAAGCGGCAGAGGGGAGAGGGAAGAGGAGCAGGAAAAGCGGCAGGCAGCAACAGACCTGAAATGTGCTGCGGTGGCCATATTTTTGAGGCAACATTGTCGACACTCGGGTCCAGGCAGGACTCTGCTCTGGCGGGGGATGGCTGGCAGAGACTATCGATGGCATCGTTCGCCACTATACAGCCCGAGAGTTGATTGGGTTTATGATCAGATTGGACAAATGAAGAAACATCTATGTACAGCTGGGAAATCTATAGCATCTACTGCATAGGTGTATGATATGCCAATCCATTGCCATTCTCCTTTTTGGAAGAATTAGCTATACCCATCTGATACTCGTATCTGCCGTTGCTTACCATCAATCAAAGAGCATCAAATGATTCCCCGTTTAGTGTATACTGTGTTCGTTGTGGCGCCTTTCTGTGCAGGTTATCCTTGTGTGGACATAGCAAACAGCAAACATGCCACAGTCCTGTTCCTGCCCCTGCCACTGTTATGGCCTTCTGCCACCAGCCTTTGTCCAAGGTGTATGATGATTTTAATGGCCTCTCTTCAGGCAGAGCAGGCACGGGCAGGGGCAGGGCCCAGGGCCAGGGGACAGATGCAGAGCCAGAGCCAGAGCCTGGCCAACATGTTGAAAGGATTGCTGCGAGTTA